GGGCTGTTTTGGGCCATAATGTGGTGGTTTTGGTGGGGTCTTGGCAAAAGTGTCCGGCCAAGCCGTGTGTCCGGCCAAGCCGTGAGGTACGTTAGGCGTTCTTTTGTGATTTGAATCGAATTTAACTTATAATCTAGGATCAATGATTGGTGTGAACCTCTCGCTCACCGGTTATACAGTCTAACCGCCAAGTCGAGACATGTAAACGTGTTCCCGTCTGGAGCGCAACCTGAGTGATATTTGGATTCCCTACTCGCTGGATACAATGCTCCACATGCTCTATTGACCTCGACTGACTATCCAAGACAAAAGGACTTCTTTTTCTTGCACTTATTTGCTTAGCCCATATATATGCGCAATGCTGATAGTGAAAAGTTCCGTTAGTGTAGATAAATTTATGATTTCCAAGTCTTGCTTCAGCCTCGGTTAGTGGCTTTAACCCATCTTGATCCCAGAAAAATGCAAAGTTGTTCTCGCTTAGAAAGCGATCGGATAGTTCTTGATTGTAGCAGGGTGGATGAACCCATCCAGACATCATGAGATCAAAAACACACCCGTTCTGTCGAGCTTGCTCTGACGTGCGTCCACATTCTCCCATGCTACTCGATGTCGCGTGAGCAGAGAGGAAGATGATGTTCATAGCTGATCCGATTCCAAAGATGACGAACGATATGATGAGAGCAATGATGATAGCTCGATATTGCCATAACCTAGCAAAACGATATGGATCTTGTTCGTCGAGTTTTTCGAAAAAGTGGTTGGTTGATAGTGTTGCACCATCATCACTGCTCGAATTAGAGTTCGACGCTGAAAACTCAGAAGTATTTTCAAAATCGCCTAATAGAGCCACTCTTTGTTCCATCTGTAGAATATGTTAGAACGATATGTACTAAGAAAGGAATCTAGTGTAATTACCTCTAAAAGGGAAGAAGTGTCTTAAATTTCGAACATAGACTGGATAGTATCTAGCCGTAGCTTAAGAATTGCTGGTATGCTTATGTGGCTCGAATTAATGATGAGATTTTATATCGCTTTCGCGTGTGCATGAACACGAAGTATGACTAAATATTGACAAATGGAACAACCTCTATGATCCAGAAAATGTTGTAGCCTTATATTTTTTAATTGTTTAAAATTATTCCGGATAAGTATGCCAATCGTTTCTTTGCTGTAGTTTGTCGGGTTGCAGGAATTGCCGTAGCCTGGGAAGGTAAACCGAAACGTACTAAATCTTTGAGGTAGCCAATGCCCACTCAAAGCTAGATTGCGCAATGTGATATACGCAACTTATATATACGATAAATCGAGATCAATGGTATAAGAAGGCCTCAAGTCCATCGCAAATCAATCACCACTACACTACAGCAATTACAATCTTCCAACACTCTTCCTCATATCATCACCTAGCAGTCCGCACCAACGAAAATCATTCAATATGAAGTTCGCCATCGCCATTGTCGCAGTATTTGCTGCCTTGACCTCTGCTACAGCTGTTTTCCCCAACAGGGCTCCTCGTGGCACTCATTGCTCCAACTATTGCGGAGGAGAGACGACCACGTGCTGCGAAGTTGACGGTTGCTGCTACCCTTGCTACGAAGGTTCCGACGCCGACTGTACTCCCGAGGTAATATCTTTACCTTTGAAATTAATACCGACTTCAACTTACACTACTTAGGTTACTGAATAATTGTTTCTACTATCGATTTGGGGTTTAGTTAGTTCAATAAGCTGTACGTATCTCATCATCTACTAGACGATCTACATTAACTCTCTACTGTAGGTCTCTCGGATATCCTAACTAGATTTTCATATTACTAGAGATGTATATTTGGAATAATTCATAGGCTGAGATCGTGAAACGTTTGGTCTTGGCTTCGCAATAAGGTTTCGGATGAATTCTTTCTTTGGCATCCAGGGCAAGCCTATATATACTAAACCATCTATAAACTCAACTTCCTTTACGCTCTAAGTGATGATATTACTGCACAACGTGTTAATCGTGTTAGTTAACCTCGAAATAGTTTATTGATAAACAGTAAGACACTCGTATCCTTTATTGCGCATACACCAATGCGATAACTTAAGGTACTTAATCTACCGTATAGAATTAGCCATAAGAAAAGCCAATCTTATATAGTATTTGGCCTTGCACTAGATCTGATGGATAGTATTGATAATTTTCGATCTAAACTTGTATACTTGATCCATCTTAAATAGTATTACATACTCTGGAGCAATAGATTTGCTGTGTTCGATTTTGAGATGATTATAGATAATGACAACCTATAAAGACAAAATCATGTTGTTATTTTGCGTATGCTTTCATACCACGCATAGTAAATGCCGTTGTATATTGTCGTATAGTTTTGACCCCAGGCTATCGTCTGTGCTCTGATTGCAATGTTATGGACTGACATATATCTTCTTTATTTATTGCATTTGTATTCCTCACTAGTACAGGCCATCTCTCAACTCCGATATGTCTTCACGTATGCGCTTCATGGAATATTTCAATGCTCATTCTTATCAAAACCTCAATAGCGAGACCGCTGAAGATGAATTCTCTCCAAAGCAAAAAGAAAAACCCTCTCTTTCTCAGAAAATTGTGGTACTCTACGCTATAATAACTTTTCTTCTATTCACGCAGCTATCATCTATCGTTCTCATAACCTCGAAACATTCAAACCCTCTAGGGTCCTATGAAACAGGATTCTCAACGGAAATACGTACGATTGATTATTCAAAGCTCAACTTGATTCGTTATCGGGATAATTCTAATGAAATATGCAGACCCTAATCAAAACACACTCGCACTTCACAAAGTCAAGTTCTATGGTGGCGTAGTTTTTGATGAAAATGGTACCGTATCTCTGAGCTACGAGCCTGGACAGCCCGATTATTTCGGAACGCCTAGCTTAAGTGTCGAAGCCGCTTGGGATAAACTTCTGAACCGTATGTCTTCCCCTCCAATTCTACATCAACTCCCACGAGGTATTGAAGTATCGCTCAGATCGGTTCATCAAGGTGGAACCAAAGGACTGGCCAAAGGAAGCCGTCCGGCTTGGACAACAGGATCTCGTTCGGGGATCGTGGCGATTAGAGTAAGTCTACCTCCATTTCTCCCTGTGGATGGTAAAAACCGTCTGACCACTAGTAATGCTATCTAGGACGAGTGGTTTGCACGCACTGCATTGTTTGGTTAGTATTAGATATACAATGAAGCTTATTTGCACTAATTATCTAGAATTACGTCAGGAAATCTCTTTCCCCGGAATATTATGAATCATACCGAGATAAACCAGAGCAAAGCTCAAAGAGTCTTTCTCATTCCGGTCATCTAAGTAAGCCACGATTCCTAGGTACTAAGAGAAAGCATGCAGGCTGATAAAGATTTCGACTTAGAACATTGCCTAAGTCAAATTCATCAAAATATTATGTGTCACCTTGATATGACACCTACACCTCGAACGTGGCGTCCGGCGCCTGCTGGAGACCACGGGCAGGGTCTTCGTCATGCAGATACAGACCAATGGCATGTCTGCAGGAATTTTGAGGCTCTGAGAGACTGGATGTATCCGTTACAAGAGTTCCATGATTGAAAAAAATAAGTCATAGCTATTATTATTCCATTATAGTCCTGTATCAGCCGTTGGCTATGTAAGACTTTGGCCAAAGGCCGTTCTATCTG